AAAGCACAATTATCATGGCACTACCAGAGAGAAGCTTCCACTTAGATAATAGTTTGCAAGACTCATGACAGAAAAGAAATAGCCTCAAGACTCAGTCTTCAGGTATTTCTGTGAGATTATAAAGGATCGGATGCAAGCGGATCGCTTGGTAAGTATTTCTTGATTTCAACCTCAGTTTTCAAAAGTGGGCAGGTGAAGGAGGAATAGAAGTAGGTCCCTGCCCTGAGACGGGCCTTCTGAAACTGCTGGAACAGAAACATGCCCCACGTTTTGTGCTCACGGCTTGATACGTCAGCCATGTCAAAACAGCACTGGGAAGTAATCAGAGGAAACACTCCTCAGAAAAAAAGAATTCTGTAATGATTTTTTAAACGTGGTTTGGCATCACTTAAGCTGGAGTGAAAATCTGCCCTCATTAAAAAGAGGAAAAACCTGAGTTTCAAAAATACTCTAACAGCTCACTGATCCTGATTGGATCCATTGAAATTCCTGCTTAAGGAAATTCAGGTCATTTCTGATTATCTTTTATCTTCTAGCAATCAGAAAAGTGTCATCTAGATCATCTAGCAGAAAACAAGATTCTTGAAAGACAGGGAGGTTTTTAGAACAAGTCACAGCTCCTATTGGACATCAGTGACCAGGTGGGCACGTGGATGCTTCACACACACTGTCTATGGAAATCATGTGGTTCTGTCCTCTCATTATGATCATGCCACTTCCAGAGCCACGTCTTCTCATTCTTTAAAATAATTTCATGACACGGTGACAGCCACCCCTTCTTCCCACCAAAGTCACACCAAAAGCTCTGGGTTATTGCTTGTTTGGTTTTTTTTAAGCATTCTGCCATGCCACAATTAATGTGTGGTCCAGGATAAACTAAGTGGAAATGAAATCAGGCAATGCCAAAAATGTACCTAAAGACAAAAAAAAAAAACAGTGGAAACAAAAACAGAGCACCCTTTAAAACATCAGTTTCAGAAATGGCTTTCAGGTTTCTACATTAAACCAATAACAGAGAGCACTACAACTGTATGAAATTTCCAGAGGTTTCAGAGCAAATAGCAGTGTAATTCATCATTCAGTCTACTGCTCTAATCTTATCCCTGTACTCTCAGTCAAATTCTAGATATACAAGAATAGAATGGAATGGAATGGAATGGAATGGAATGGAATGGAATGGAATGGAATAGAATAGAATAGAATAGAATAGAATAGAATAGAATAGAATAGAATAGAATAGAATAGAATAGAATAGAATAGGATGGCATTTTTGATTTCAAGCTCTTTACACAGGCAAAACTGACTGCTGATTCCACAAGAAGCAGCATCAAACCCTAGTGGAGAATGTCTGATGAAATCAAGGCAAACGTTTTGATGATTTCTGGGCATGCCTATGAATTTGACTTTATACCTGTGGCACATAATTCTACTAATTAAAGCCATGTTGCTTCACCTGCCTTTTTCAAGCAGCACAGACTACAATCCCCACTATCAAGAAAGCAGAAGAAAACAGGCTGACTCCACGCAACGTACCTTTCAAGAGGTTGGTTTTTTTTGCTTTGCTCTAGCCTATGAGTTGAATGCCTCCTGGACTGCATTAGATGCACTACTGGAGCATGTCTTCCAATTTTGTTTCATTCAAAATGAATCCAGCTCATGAGCTCTGAGGCTGCTCTGCAATGCAAACAATAACTAGGGACAATTAGGAGATCTGATTCCAAAGCACACTCCCAATTTGACCTAAGATGCTAATGCAGACGCAGCCAAAGAGCTTAGAACGTGTTCCTGCACTAAAACCTCTAAAATTACAGAGTACCAAGGTCATGAAGAGTTTTACCTCTCTCCCAATTAATAAGTCTCACAGCTTTCAATGCATTTCACACATGTGCAGCAACTTACAGCGAAGATGAGTTCTCCAGCAGCAGACATTGTGTTTCTGATTCCACATATTTTCATTTCCCATCTGTGTGATCGGTCAGGATTTTTATTCAATTAGCCTTCCACATTTGGAAAGCTTTTCTATGTATCTGAGTATTTTATTTTCAGAAGAGTTTGCCACTTTTTACTATCTGTTCTACAGACAGTCCTCTTTCTTTGACAGCTTTGCCAAGCCCACAAGATTGCTCTGAAAAGATCACTGGATGTATCACATGCCGGGTTCCTTGCCCTCTTCGCTAGGACCCTCTCTTCCAAGTTTTTTATTAGACAAGATTTATTCCTTTTCCAAAAAATGCTATATAAATAACTATTTTGCTAGTCACAAACATTAAATACTTAATTTGAACCGGCAGAAAGACCAGCTACCGGAATTCTGCAGTGGTCTGTTAGCTCATATGTCTCCGTGTGTGCATACTGAAGGAAACAGCAGAAATAATACTTTACAATTTGATGAACAACATATGACATTGAACCTCCAGACTTGCAAAAAAGGGTCACAATCTTAGGAAAATACCTGAAAGGCAGAATTCTGTCCTCTCCAAAGAAAATCTTCAGACTCCTTACTTTAATTGGTATAGAACTGTTATCATCAAGGCTTGGTATGTAAGTAAAATGGGATTAAGCAAGAAAATAACCACTAAGGACTTCACTGAAGTTTGGGTTATAGAAAACTGCATCTTCTGAATACATGAAAACGTGAAGGATGATATTGTGCCAGCTACTGTTAGGCAGACTCCCTCTTAGATCTCACTTACACATTTTACTTATGGTAGGCACTATAATGGCTTGTAATAATTTAACTGCATTTATTTCTGGAGCAGAATATGGTATGTTACCATACACAGAGAAGGAACTTGTGAAACTAATCTAAACCAGAAAGAGAGAAGAAAGAGGAAAAAGGTATGTTTGACTCTCAGAGTCTACAGAATTACCACAGTAAGAGATTGTGAGAGAGCTAGAGATATGAGCATTCTCTCTGAAAATCACAAGAAATCACACCACTGGAAGATGCAAGTAAACAAAGCGTGCTTCCTATAGACATAATACGAGAGTAATTATTGAGTCTTAAAATATGCCTTACTTTAAAAAAAAAAAAAAAAAAGTGAAATTGTTGTAAGCATGGGTGCATAATAAAGCAATATTTTAATTTCTTTATTATGCATAATAATATTTAATATAATTAAATTTTAATATGATTAAATTTTTAATATAATTAAATTTTTTTAATATAATTTAATTGCATAATGAAGCAATGCATATGCATACTGAATAGCCAACAATTCCCTATTCTGTAAATCAGATTCTTCAATCCAATTCAGCCCATATTGAATCTAATGTTCCACTGATACCACCTACTCCTTCTTCCCCATACTCTTCCCCACAGAGATACAAAAGTAAAAGGGAAACAGTCTAGCCAAAAAAAAACCCACAATTGTTCAGCTCTTTCCACTGAAAACTCGCTTCATTTCTGACTACAAGCACTTAGAGAAAATCTTTGAACATTTCATGCCACTACATTTTCCCTTTTCATAAAGCTATTCAGCCACCCCTGTTCAACCACCACGCATTCCTCAATCAGGGGAGATGGCTTGCCTGTTATAAATTACTCTCATAAAACAGCTATTTCTGCTGCTTCCCCTGGGACTGCACCCAAGGTGAGGATCAAGCCAACAACACTTAGCATCCACATGTGCAAGCGCAGAACCAAATGGGAGGAAGCAGGCGGTAACTAATCTATCTTTTACTGCGCCTGCTGTAAGCTGCCTTCGGGAACATCACCAGCACAGGTAGGTTTGGGAAGGTGCCTTGGGAAGGCACTGCTTCCTAGTGCCAAGGAGATGCTTGTACCTGAAATCTGCCGCATCCAAAAACTCCAGGCATAAGCAACACACAGTATGTGTGAATGTTTTCTCTGCAGAATTTCTGAAATGCCCTAGGATACTTCATCACTGGACAAAGCTACAAAACTAGATCTTAATGTGACTGGTAAAGCCCTTTCCTGTGTTTAGCTGCTGATGCTCTGGAGAACATCAGCAGTAGTTTTTAAGGACCTTCTGATGTGCTCTGAGCCTTCAGAAGCATGCATGTTGACAGCAGTGTTAACACCCTTGCAAAAGAACTGAACCAAAGGGGAAAAACGGCAGGACAGCAAAACTGAGCTGGGCAGGGATTTGAAAAAGAAGTCTAAAGAAGGTTGAGCAGAAAAAATGAAAAGATAACTAGAGAAGCATGCAAGATGGGACAGCTGGCACATGCAGACATCAGAGAGAAAAAGTGTCAGGTACATGAAACTCAGATCTTTCCATGGCCAAAGAATCAAAACATATTTGTCTGATGGCCACATCTGAAGAGTAAACGGTCAGGAAAAGAGCAAGTTTCAAACAAAACACACTATTGTGATTACAATTATATATATATATATACATACATATAAAAGATAAGATTTATATATACATTCTAAGATTTATATATATTCTATACATATATATATATAGACAGAGAGAGAGAGAGAGAGAGAGAGAGAAGAGCAGAACAACCTAATTCTAAAAGCAAATATCCTGCTGTTCATTTATGCTCTTTCTTACTGAAATCAAGGAAAATATACTGTAATTCCAGGGAATGTTGCACATTATACGTTGTACAAACTACATCTGAATGTTATCACGTCTCTCAATCACCTTCGGATGTCTGATAGTGCCCCTTTAACCTTTGTTACTCAATTACTGAGCAAGTTATCTCTTTGCTACTCTTTTCTGAAGGAAGAATTGTGCCTCTTTCCATGCTGATAAGAGACATAAATATTCACTCCCAGCAAACATTCAATAGTAAAGTGTCTTGAGCAAACTACCAGAGTCTAAAGGTAGGAAGCTGTGGTTAACTTTTCTGCTCTCTTAACCCTTTAGTCAATCCACCAGAACAAACAGACACAGAAGATGGATGTTCTTTTTCACAAACGAAGCAGAAATAATTGTTTCCTTAGAGAATGGACTTGTAACATGTTTTATAACACAGAAAATAAATCAAATGAAAATAAATCAAATGATTGAAAGTGGAATATTTACCCATTTTCTGGGCCGCCCTCGGGGTCGCTTTTCACCAGTGGCTTCTGCTTTCTGTAAAGGAAAAGAGAAACACAGCGTATTTTATACCTCAGCATTATTTAACAACCTTGGTAACAAGGAATTCCTCTCCTGCAATACTACCCATCAGTACTTCACCTGTGTGGCACCAAGCATCCCCCTCAGCCCACAGGAAAAGGAGGTGCCTGTGATGTATTTTCTGCCATTTCCCAGCCCACAGGGCCAGAGGACACCTCGCTGCACCCTGCTTTGGTCTGTGCTGTGGACAGGGACATGAGGCAAGTTTGGGACCTGCCGAACTGCAACACCATCACATCTAACCTCCCATGGGTTGCAGCCATCAGCCATCACCTCAAGGTACTACATTTGATATGCAGCCTGTTTCAAGCCTGAACAAAGCATTTCATAGCAGCTACAACTCCTCCTTTCAGGCTCCTGATGTTCATGCACATAATGGATTTGGACAGACTGTTACCACAAACGTGTGTTCATTCACATAGAAGGTAACTCCTCTACTCCTCATGAGCTTTTCTGGGTAGATGTGCACCTCAAACTCTAAGCAAACCTTTCAGTGCTCCAAAACATATATCCTATTCAAGGTGTAAGGAAACAGCATGGAAGGTGCCCTAGAAGTAACAGTGACATTTATATGAGCTCAGCAGTTGGTTCTGTAGCTCACCTTTAGGGAAATCTGGGTTCTTCTACACTTTTCCACGAGTTTTCCCTAGATAGGCTCTGCCCATCCACACCCCTTCAGGCAACAGCCCTGCTCCCAATGAGAGTGAGAGAGAGATCTTGCCACTGTGAGAGTAGAACTTCCGCTGCCTCAGACATTGCTAAGAACAAACATTTCTAGCATACACTCTACACGTGCTCTTCCATGTTTCCTTGAACTGTTTAGCTTCCAGTTCACTGTAGGTGTGTTTGATTAGCCCCTAGAAATCAGCCATCTCATTAAGTAGATCACTTGCAGGTCAATCTCTGTAATGTACACTGTCACCTAACACTGCGCACGGCAGATCCCTCTGCCAGAGAACCTGAGCCTAAGGAGCTGCGGAGGAATCCCTACACAAACAGCGCTACAAGGTAAATGCAATTACTCTAAAAGAAATATCTCACCAAGAAAAAAAAGCTGTGAAAAATAAAATTCACACTCCTAAAGGGCAAAATTATCACTCAGATTTGTTAAAAGAGTAAACTTGTCCTTTAATCGTTTATACCAGCATTACATGTAAGGTGAAACCCTCTTATGAGAATACTTGTTAAAGTGAATTTGCTACATACTGTAGCTGTCTATTTCAGAGTTTTGGGTCCTTTTAAAGTGTTCCATATTTCCCTACTTAATTACCTGAAGGATGCAAGAAAGGTTCAAAAATCTATGAAAAAAAAAATCTAACTTTTTGGAAACTAAAACTGCTTTTGTCTCCCACTTAACGCTACTAAAGGCATGGTGGGAGCTGCAAGCTCCACTCCAGGGCTGGGAGGGGGGGGGGGGGTGAGCCATCTCCCCAGAAAGGCCGCAGCCAGGTTCCAGGGGCTGAGACCACTTGGGGAACCCTCACACCAACAGGCCCCAGGCTCCTGCTGCATTGCGAGTTCTGCCTCCTGTTAGAGGAAAAACATTTCCAGAGCCTTATCAAAACCAAATCTTCCCCAGAGGTGAGCTGAGCAAACAGCGGGGAATGCCAGTTACTATGTTTTGGTACAGATCTACTCTGTAAGTAAATAGCAGGGTTTCCACAGGCTAAACTGCAGCAAGTGAGCAACCGGAACCAGCGGAGAGGATGTGTTTATCCCCATCCTGAGGGCAAAGGAAGACAAAACACTCCTGGAACAACCATGAAGCAGCAGAGCCAGTCCAGTAGTGATAAAAAGGCGTGAAGTTCAGCAAAATATTCCCCTTCTTTCCATCTGGATTTTTTTTTTTTGAGGTTGCGTTTCACAAACATAGCCCGTATTTTCTCCAGCAGCACAAGACTGCCTTTTAATTTAGGGGCTTGAAGAAAGGTTTTATTGTAGATCAGACAAATTATTCAATGTTTCTCTGTATAATTTTCAAGTAATTAATAAGAATGGGAACAAGTAAGCGCAAAAGCTTTGCTTTTTGTATTCCACAGGTATTTACATAATCTAAACCACGTCTGTCCATCAGGTCTCTGCTTTAATTGAAGTGTTGCCTCTGAAGCTGGGAACAAATCCCAGGAGAGCCCAAAGCCACCCACTGATCACAGGGGTCCGTATCTGGGCAGCACAGAGCGGCGCTCAGCCACCCCACCCGCAGCAGCCCGTAATTGCTCACGCAGAAAGGAAGCTGCTGCCCTAATCCTCTAAAGCACTCTCTGAAATTGAGATGTGTTTGGTCAGGATTTCCTCAGCACTCGGCGCTATGCTAGGAGGCATCCTCTTGCTCTGTGCATCCAAGGCATGGAATCACCGAACTCAGAGGAGGGCTGGGTGCATAATCAAACCAAGGCTACGATAATTTGTGAAAAATTTCTTATAACCAATCATATCAACATCTCATTATTACTGTGTCGCATTTTAGGACTAGAACTGGATTTACGTGCTCTTCAGTGCATGATCTATAGGGGAATGCTATTTTTGTCCTGAATGATGACCATGCCAGCCACCACCACCACATCAACATGGCTCCAGACAGCTGTGCAATCCAGCCAAGCCCCACACCACAAGGCCAGTCCAACCTGAATGGCAGCCACCAGCCCCATGGAACCCAGTCGCCTCAGATCGCTGCATCTCCATGCTGCACCAACGGCCATGCCCAAACAGCTGGTGCTGCCGCAGGTAATTAACAAGATAAGACAACTATAAATAATTGAGTGACTATAAAGTGCTCTTTGGGCATCTATCTATTGTCAAGGAAGATGGCAAATACAACAGAACCCAAATTTTGCGAACTCTAACCACTCTGCAAAATGATCTGCTGGAGACCTCAGCTGAAATGTGTCAGAGCTCAGACAGGTGAACCAACGGCAAGGTGCCACTGCAAGGATGGCTGCTGTCAAACTGTGCCAAAAGAGCTTGTGCAAGGAACTTAGAGAAAAGTCCTTTTTGCTATTTGTTTCTCTTTCTTAGAAGAAATGTAGGCATTGGCTAGATACAAAACTACTGCGCTTGCTGTGTCTGTTTCACCTGTTTTAATTCTAAACAGGAGCCATCTCCTGCTTCACCCACCTTACTCAGAGCATTTGCAGTCTGATTTTTTTTAGGTACAATAACTATACTGTGATCCCTTGATGAACGTGAACTTGTTTTCCCTTTCAGCCTGCTACGATTGGTGCCGGTAAGAATGAATGAAACATGGGAAAAGCCAAATAGATTTTCATGAACCAATTTAGAGCAGAGTCCTGGTCACATGCAACACTTTTTTTTTTTTTTTTTTTTTTTTTTTTTTTTTACCTTTGGACCGTTTAACTCAGGGACGTGGTTTTCCACATACCAAACTCAGGCCATGTAATGAGAGACGGTACGAAGTGTCGTCACACACAGAAACACAGGTTCTGGTTTTCAGAGAATGACATTTCAAGATCTGGTATCATCGGTGAAGTTTACTACTTCAATAACTGCAATATTACTCAAGATGCCTGTACTGAAGGCAAATTTTAGAAGAGTTTTTATTTACAGATATTCCTGGGATACCTTCCTGACGTTTTCTTTTCAGGCAAACATACAGACGTTAGCATGTTTTTTCCTTGTTCTGACCCTATAATTGTTTTTTTTTCTTCCCAACAAGAGAGCATTTATGCCCCTATGGTATTTTTGTGAAGCCCAACTGTGGGAGCCAAACAAAGAAAAGCCCCTGAATGGCACAGGGAAATGCGACGGGCTGGGAACACAACACAGCCTAACGAATAGAACTCAACCACACAGCATCCAAGAACTGAAAAGGAACATCCTTACTATGACCCGTCTGCAAAACCCAAGTTGTTCTTTACAAAAAATATAAACCTTTTTTTTTTTTTTTTGGTGCTAATTTTTTACCAATATTTTAAATCAGTAACAGAATGACACGTTTAAAGGCACAGACTTGAGTAACAGCTGGGTTGTGGGGACTCAAGCACAAGGTGACCAGAAGCTGTTGGTGGCTCTCTCCTCCTGTGTTAACGTGTTGTGTTTGTTCTGTTCACAAAAAATTGAAGTGAGAAATGATTCTTCTAGAAAATGATGCTTACCTTTTGTGCCCATTTTGTAACAAGTGAAGTACATGTAATATGCAAATGGGCTTTTTTTAACCGTGTATTGCCTAAAATTAGAGCAATTGCTGCATTATTAGCTATCCAGTTGGTCTTGCAACATTCTGTATGCATTGTCAAGTTTCACATTGCTAATTTCCTAACAAGCACAGTTTGTTTTCAGATGCCCCAAGGCCAGTTTACTAAGACCAAACACAAGCTCTGAAAACTAATGGAAAAAAAAATAATTAAAAAGTCCTATGAACCGAGATATTTAAATCCACAACACAATCATGATTCTAGGGCAGATTCTAGGGCAAACTGTCGGCCAACCGCATTTACTTTGTGAAGCATAATAAAACAAAGCCCCAGCACTCGAGTATTTTTTAACTGACTGCCGGTTTGTGCAATGTATTTTTAATTGTGATGTGTAATGGTTTGCAAGAGAACACCCCATCAATTAATCACGAGAGTGTTCTCACGTCTGCTCAGTGGGTGCGTTTATCTCGCATGTTGTGAACCCTGCAGCACAACTCAATGCACCAACTTTGAGGAGCAAAGGCCACACACCACTCTTCAGAAATCCCATCAACTTCCAAGCGTGTGGGCAGGACCCATGTTCACATGCACGGGGCACTGAGCGGCGTGAGCTCACTCTGAGAGCTGAGACAGGGAATAGAAAGCCTTAAATGCAAGTCTTACATCTTTGTATGTGCAAATATGTCTGTCACAACACGCAGCACACAGCTTTCAGAGGTGATAACCCCACCACCAAAACGGGGCTTTCTTACAGTGCCAAAGCCTCTCCATTCATACCCTTGGTAGAAAAACTATCAACATTAATATCAGCTAGAGAGGTCGGTTCAGATGTCTGGTGAGAAGCTGAATCATTTCAGAGAGGGTTAATTATCTATTTGGGAAAAGAGCTACAATATTTAGTGGAAATGTGATCTCAGATGCTTTTTTCTAAGAAGGCTTTATGAGCCTTTTGTGTTTTAGGAGAGTTATCAAACATTTACATATTTTAATCCTTAAACCTGGAAACAAATAAAACCAGTAATTACGTACCCCTCGAGGATTTTTTTTTTAAATGATAAAAGGACATGTGGACTTCGGTGAATTTTTTATAATATCAAAACCTGAAAAAGGTTTGCTTTAATTAGGGAGGTAACCTGATGCGTCCTGAAAATCAAAATGCTACAGTGAAATTGCTCAGATCATAAATTAGATTAAAAAAAAACAACCGTGTGCACCAGAATCATCTAGAAAGCTCTTGAATTGATATGCCCACAGATGTAAGAGAGATTTCATGTTATTTTCCATTAATATCAATTTTCAAATCACTCATATAAATGAAATAACATTAATGCTTCTCTCAGAAATGTCTATCTTTTGAAAACACGTTTCTATGAATTACTTCAAACCTAATCTCATTACAAATATTTCTCCTAGGAAAGCCAGCACTCTGAAGAGTAATATTTAAAATACTAAAGCTCACACTTGATCTTGCTGGGCTAATAAAAAACTTCTCTTTCCCTTTTCAAGAGCGAAATTTTAACATTTATAAAGTGGATCTGAAGAACATTTTTATTACACAAAGGGAAAAAAAAAACTACTTTCGAAGGTCAGTAGGTTGGACAGTGGCTTGAAATATTTTAAATGCTTAACCTGTAAAGCATTTTTACTAATTCATGACCTTCTAGTCAGAATACACCGCTTTCTGCAGCTCAGAAAGTTAAAAAAAAGCCAAACAACAACGCAAAACAAACACACACACACACAAAACCCACCTATTTCACATTTAAGGAGAGCTGGAAAACATTCCTCAAACAAATGCTGAGAAGCTTGGAGTAAAGCAGACATGAAACCCCCATCACCCCCCAATAACTGAATACTTATCAGCAGTTGCTCTAGGATTTTATAACACTGAAAGCTATCAAACTAAATAAGGTCAGCACCATAGGCACAATGAAAAATGAACCATAATGAGTTGAGGCTACAAATACCTTCCACACGGACTTTGCCACAGATCTGCTTAAAGACACTGATAGCCTTCAGCATCGCAGCTCCCTACCAGATTTTGTAAGCTTTTGTTTCCAATTTAGTACCTGCGAATTGGTGCTAACTGCTGCGCGACCATCACCATAAACACAGCTCAGCATTTACTTCCAAGCCTCCACACAACTATTTGCCTTCACTAAAATAACTCCAATAGCAAGGTGTGATTTGCCTTGATAGCAGTTTTCAGACACTGAGCTTTCCCAGATTCAGATACAATGAAGGCACGCTGAATTTGCTGTCGAAGCCCATGCAATAAGTGGGATGAGCCCAGGGAGGCTGTACCAGAGCTGGGTGCAGGCAGAGCCACAGACGCACGCTGCTCCCATCCCCAGGCACAGGCAGGGGCTCAGAAGACAAACAGCACTTCAAGGGAAAGCCTCTTAGAAGGTGATTTCTAAATGAGATATCGAGGGCTTTTACTGTAACTCACAGTTTACTTTACCAGCACATTTTAAAGCTGTAAATTTCAATACATGCGCTTATTTCCATCAAGGCTCAATTGGATTTTCTTCTAATTAACCCGTGTTTGACAAAACACTGAGCTTTAGTACGCACATTTGGTCTGTATTGTAAAGCCCATAAGTGGGCAAGAAGTACATCTTCTTTCAAAAACCTACACTGAGATACAGTATGCTTAACACTGATTTCACTGCTTGATGCAGGGATCTCAGAAAACGCATCAGATGCATGGTGGTGTTTCACTACTCAAAGCACAGACTGCCCCTCTGAGTTCTGTGCCCTGAGTCCTGCTGTTTGTAAACTTAAAATACAAACTACACGCTGTATGTACATACATTGCATGGAGCCTTTCTCAGAGGCTCCAGTCCCACTGCTCACAGCCTATATGGCTGCGTCCTTTGCTACCACTTGATTTAAAAAAAAAAAAAAAAAAAAAAAGCATTAGGAATTTTCTCTTTCATGCTCTCACCTTCTGAGCTGCTTTAGAGGGACTCTTGTTTTTGCTTCCCTTGGGTCTTCCTCTTGGTCTTTTAGGAGATGGTTCACCAGTTGGTTCCTAAACACAGGAAAACATGCTGTTGTGGCAAGCAGCTACAGCACCCGAGATCTGAAGGACAAACTACAACGGAGCAGTTACTGAAAGCGTAGGAATTAACAGCCTAAAGAAATGCAACAACGTTTCAAGTACCGCACGAAAAACCGAACAACTCGAGGTAAAGAGAAAAAAATACCATCAGCACATTGAGGGAATTCAACTTTCCTTGCAATTGCTCAGAAAGCCCTGAGAAGCTCCAGTGCTCTCCCCAGCAAGCTACAGCAGAAAGCAGTTTTTAAAGAAGATGGCTATGGCTTCCCTCGTGCAGGAATGAGTATTCAGAAGTTAACGGAGTTATCCATTTAATTTTAATCGCGTTTCATTATAACCAGACACAATTAGCACACACCTTCAGGAAAAAAAAAGAAAGAAAGAAAGAAAGAAAAATTAAAAAAAAAAAAAACAAAAAAACAAAACAAAAAAAAACCCCAAAGCTAACTACTGGAAAACCAGAAAGAAGGGTTTGAGACTAATCTCTCTGCCAAGGAGACAAATACTGCGGGTGGATTTTTTTATTTTTTTTTTTGGTGCCGTTCTGCATTACTTTCACACCTATTTCAACCAGAATTGATTCGCAGCAAAATGCAAATGCAAAAGTTCCCTCCAGCGGAGCCTTAGGGGAGATAAAGGATCTGAAATAAACAAACAAAAAAAGTCTAAAACGCCGAGAACGGTGCAATGATTGCTTTGGCAGTTTTAGCCAGCTCCTGTTTCTGACAGTGCCCAACCAGTGCTGGGCAACTGGGGTAAGTTATGCGGGTTCGGGCTCACCGAACTCTCCCAATTTCCCAATACTTCGCGTTTCACTCGGAGCGCAGGATGGGGCACAACCAATGAAATGCCCTTTGTTAACTTACAGCGGTCCAAAGCCCGCAGCTCTCGGACCACCGAGGGCTCAGGGGAGGCTGCAGAGGGGTCTCCTCCCCGCGGGGCCTCGGCGGGAGCCCCACGGCACCGCACCGCTGTGAGGGTACGCCGAGTGTTTTCCCTTACGTGCATTCAAATGCTAAAATAAATGAAAGAAAATAAAGGAGAAAGAAAAGAAAGAAAAGAGAAGAAAAACGAAAGAAAGAAGAAAAAAAGGGAGAAAAAAAAAAAAAAAAAAAAGGTAGGAGTGGGGGAATTGAAAAGAAAAATAAATAAATAAAGGAAGGCCCAGAACGGCGCTGATGGGGGCAGCGGGCCGGAGCTGCTCAGCGCGGCACTGCGGCAAAGCTGGAAGCCGAGGGGCTCCGGGGATACGGCTCCCAGAAAGCGAAGCCCTCAACCCCGGCAGCGCAGCACCGAGGGGCCCGGCCCGCGGTTCCCACAGCCCCCGGAGCGGCTGATGCTGAATGAATGGGGCGATCGCAGAGAGCCCGCTTAGCGGGAGGCAACTCCGTGCTCGCAGCCGCGACCTGCGAGGGGCCGCGGGCGCGCGGCACCGGGCCGCGGCCACCCGGGCGCTGCGACAATGGCACTCGGGGGAGGTGGGAGCGGACGGGTGAGGGCTGGGGGTGAGGTGAGCAGCGCGCGGCCATCCTGGCGCTTGTCGGTCCCTGCGGGCCCGGGGCGGGCGGCGGGGGCGAAGGTGGTGCGGAGCAGTGCGGGGCGGTGCGGGGCGGTGCGGGGTCGTGCGGTGCGGGGCAGTGCAGCCCCCCCGGCTGCCCCCACATCCATGAACGGAACGGGGGCACCGCTCTGCAGGGGGAGGAGGTGGGGAATGGAGGAGACGCGTTAAGAAAAAAAAAAAAAGAAAAAAAAAAAAGAAAAAAGAAAGAAAAAAGGCAGCCCTACGCGACCCTCCAAACCCCCTCCTCTCCCTCAGCGCCGGGCTCCGGGGGCAGGCAGGGGCCGGGTCGTTCGGACTCCGGCCCCGGTGGGACCGCCACACTCAGGCACGCACGAACGAGACCCTGCTGGCTCAGAGAGGAGCGCGCCCGGCGAGCCCCCGCTCCCCGCTTTCGCAATTTCAAACTGAGCTCCAAGTGCCCCCGCGGGCGCTGGTTGGTCGGAGCCGCGTTCCCCACTGACACGGCTCGGCCCCGGCTAGCGGCCGCCACAATAGCGGAGCCCCGCGCGCAGCCCTCAGCCCCCGTCCGCGGCACCCGCGGCGCCGCGCGGTACTGACTTGGGGCTGCTTCCTGGGTCTGCCTCGTCCTCGCTTCTGCGGCTCGGCGGCGGCAGGTTGCTCCGGGGCGGCGGTGGAAGGCTGGCCGGGTCCCTCGCCTTGGGCGCTCATGGCGAGCCGAGAGCACAGCCCTCCGCCCGGCTCTGCGCGGCACCTCGCGACGGGGGGAAGCACACGGAGCGCTCGCGCCGCTTTCGCTGCGCGCTGCCACCGCCGCACCGGACGTCCTGGTGCTGCCAAAAAGGAGAGGAGAGGGGAGGAGGAGGAGGAGGAGGTGATGGTGGTGGCGGCGGCGACGGCGGTGGTGCTGGAAGAGGAGGGGAATGGAGCTCTTCGACAATTTAGGAAGGGGTTAGGAACGTGGAGCGGTCCCAGAGCGGGAGGGTTTAAAAAAAATTAAATTAAAAAAAGAAATTAGAAAAAAAAAAATTAAAAAAAAAATAGATCGCAGCGCTGGGAGAGGGGAACGCTCCGAGACGAGAGGGGAGAGCCCCGCAGAGGGCAAGTGGCGGCCGTGCGCTCAGAGCGGCCGCGCCGAGCGGGGGTCGCACAGCGCGGGGCCGGGCCGGGAGCGCGCCCGGGGCGGACGGGGGGCGCGGGAGCAGCGGCGGCAGCGGGCGGAGGGAGCGCTCATTTAAAAATTAATAATAACGCGATTTGGGAGATCGGGGAGGAAAAAGGGGGGTGGGGGGAGGAGAGGCGGTCCTGGGTTCGTGTCTGTGATGTGAGCTGCTGGGACTGGAAATATTATTATGCGAGTCCTGCCCACGGACTGAACGGGGATGAGGGCTTTAAAAAAAAAAAAAAAAAAAAAAAAAAAGGAAGAAAGAAAAACTACCTTTACTCGTGGGTGGAAAAAGCGGGAGGGGGCTGTGCAAAAAAAAAAAAATTAAAAAAAAAAAATGACGGGGTGGTGGTGGAGAAAGAGGCAGCGCGCAAAGCGAGGAGCCCCGCGCGGGGCTGGCGGCGGGCCAGGCACAACATGCGGAGCGCGGCGGCCGCGCCGCCTCACGTGTCTGCCCCGGCCCGTCCCCGCCGCCGCGGCAGGTTTAAAGGGCCAGGCCGGGTCCCGCGCCCGGACCGCTGCACGTGGGCGCGCCGCCGCCGCGCGGAACAAAGGCTGCGGGGCCGGGGCCGCCCCTGGGCCGGGCCCGCCGGGCGCCACCCGCGCCCCGCCCGCGGCCAGCGGGGGGACCTGCTCGGGCGGCGCCGCGCCCTGCCCCGCGCTGCGGTGTGCCTGGGCCCGCGCCGCCGGGCGGTGCTGGCGTGACGGCGGCGGCACCGGGGCTGCCGGCGGGAGGCGTTCCCCGGCCTCTGGCAATCGAGTTTTGTGGCTGAGCTGCCCCCGGAGCTCCTGCTTCGGGGTGGGCAAATGGAGAGAGCCTTCAGGAGGGAGCGGGAAGGGCTGCGCTCTCCTGTATGATGCTATCGAGGGCGAGATGGTGCTGCAGCGCTTCTTGCGCTGGCTGCCTAGGTGTGCCGAAGTGTCTCGGTGCATTACAGGTTCTTCGCTGTCTACAGACAGATAAGAGTAATGTAACCGGGTAAAAAGTGACTCCAATCAAACGTGTGCAGGGCTGTGCTGGGAGGCAGCTGAGTTATTTTCTGTGCAATAGGAAAAGCACACTGCAGACAGATGGGCTAAAGAAAGAGTAACCCTAGAGCACTTCTGAAGGCTGCAGATATTCCCAAAGTGTGCTTAATCCAATCACAGGCCCTGCGGAGCCCCGCTCCCCCCATCCCCAAACATAGCTCTTGCCGGGAGATGGACACGCTCCACCTGTTGGATCTCGAAGCTCTGGGGAAAGCCCTACTGGCCCAGCTATGCGCTGCGGAACGCTGCTTCCCATCACATCACGGGGTAATCTGGGGGGCTTCTCACCCATCCTGCCCATCAGAAGTTTCAGCTGCTGTATTAGACCAAGAATCCAAATGAAGATTGTAAAGTCCATAGTTTAAAGCATAGCAGCACATAATTTTTATAGCATCCATTAATCTCTTTGAAGAGTATTCATGTCTATGGAAGACAGTGGCACACACAATTACCGAAACCTGAAGCTCCAAGGCTGCTGTCAGACAGATTAATCCCACATGGGCCATTAGTGGTTCCATCAGCCTTTCCTTGAGCAGTTCCAGTAACAATGGCACAGCCCAAAGGTTTATATGTGCAGCCATAAGCAAACACCTTCAGGAGCAGCGTTGCTATACTCGCTGCCTGAAGGCTGTTTGGACATGGCAGGTCCCAGTACATGAAGTACACCCAGGTCCCACTGGGTGCTGCCCACAAACTCACCCTCATAGCAGGGATCAGCACCGGGGCTGGGATGGCTACAGGTCTGATAGCCATTTGAAGTTGCCATCATTCTATCCCCACCCACAAACCCTTATCTCACAAAACAGGTGAAGCTCCCAAGGGCAGCCCTGACAGTGCTGCCTTGCTGCAGCAATCCAACGACATCTGCACCCCAACTGCCTGACACAGGGAAGCACCTCAGCACCAGCACTCAGCGAGCCAGGCTCCCAAATCAAGTGGGAGCCAGCACAGTGCCTCCATTCGAGATTCCTTCCCCTAAGAGATTGGTGACTGTTCTCTCTGCTGCTCCTTCCTTTCCCACCAATAAAGAGTCACTGCTCGATACAGAGTGAACAGTGGCATAGTGAATAGAGCTGTGTAACCATTGAGAGAGTACAGCCATCACTGCTGAGGATACGGCCTACTGTCCATAGCTTTGGGCTGAGATTTGGGCTTTGGTTTGTCAACCGGAGTGTTGTCAGCACTTTGATGATGTTGTATTCCTCAAGACATCCATAGCAGGGTAGGACATGTAAGATAAGGCCTGGTTTCCATGAAATAAGGCCTGGATTCCACAAGCTTAAAATCTCAGATTTCCAGAGAAGCTGGAAGAACTCCTACAAGGGGTAAGAAGGAGGTAACGCAAGATGAATATTTGCTGCCTTAGACACAGCACTTCCCAAGAGGCTGTTTGTTACTCTGCAGTCTGCATGGCGGCTGGCAGGTGACCTGGCCCCAATAGTTCTGCTCCCGGGGCTCTCTTTTAGCCCCACAGCTCCATGGCAGCAGCGGCCCTTCGCATCAGAATGCAAATTCCAGGTTGCAGCACAGCATCCTTCAGCAATACACCCCCAGTGTGCTCAGGTGACGGGGTTAGGCTGCATGGCCTGCCTGCCCAAGGGAGGCCTGCCTACTCCACCTGCTTGCCCTGGAGCGCATAGGCTACTACAAAGTTACAGGGATGAGGCAAGCTTAAGGCCTTGCTCAGAGGGAACAGCAAATGTTTGGCATTGGAGGAGTTCTCTGGGCAGAGATAGGAGAGCAGGCAGTGAGAAGCACTGGTCTCTCATACAGGATAAGGGGAGCGAGCATAAGAGCTGTGGGGCAGCGATTGGACAGACCTGCTGCACTGCCGGGCTTCATCTTGCTCTTGCTCACCCAGTGCAGAACAGCGGCTGCTACAGTCAGCAGATGGCTGGGATAATGCTTTAGGGAAGCATGACTGCGACTGACAACCAAGACTCAGAAAAGAACATTAAGGCTCACTCTCAGGCCTTGTCTGCACAAGGGAATTTTCCTCCCTCCTCCAAATTCCCACAATTTCTAATATGAATGCAGCTGCACAATTGTTAGGGATGCTGGGAGCCGTAATATATGAGTTTTCATCCTGTCAGCCATTTGCAGCACTGTGTCAATTAACCCTCCTCAGAGCAGGGTTAACTGATCCAGTGCTGCAAGTGGCTGCTGGCGCTGAGAGCTGTCTATGCTGAGCTCCCATTGCTGTGAGCCCCGGTGCAGCTGCAGGGGAAGCAGTCCATGTGGGGTTATTTTGGTAATAATTCCCCAAACCTGAAACAGCCTAAGAATGCAATATGGCCATGCTGTGGGCCAGGACATGCAGCGGCTGCCCTGCAGGAGCTGGGCACCTAGGTTGCTGCTCCTCACAAGGAGTTCTGTCCTACAGTCCAAAGAAGAGCACTTTCTGAATTTCTGTATGAAATCCCCAGACTGGCTGTGTCTTTTCACTGATCCACACACTCACTCATTCAGAACTGTGTTGTCAGTCATGGACACTTGATCACTGGTTTTTGTTTCTCGTTTCTGAGTGCAAAACTAGCTCTTTGCTAGGTTGCTCTTCGCTGGCAGCTTTTAATTCTAACAAGAGTGTATTTATGTAGCAGCAGGCAGACTCAAGCTGTCCTGTGATGAAGTTCTCTCACAAATGAGTAGAGGTGGCAAAATCAGTCCCACTGGTGTCCATGCACTTTGGGAAACAGCACACTGCTGATGCGGGTGTCACCCCATGCCCAGCAAGGCTAACCACTCTGTCCTTGTCCACCACCAACTAAAACAGGGAAATGCTGCTCTGCATTTGTTAAACTTTGAACAACCATTTATATGACCAATACCTGGAGTCAGGGTTTTTTTCATGAGTGTAATTTGGATGTGTTAAAATGTTGAAGCTCAGACTCAGCAAAAACCTCACTGAAAAGCTCTAGTTCACTACAGCCCTTGATTAATGATGGCCAGGTTTCATTTCATGCTTGGCATTTTATGCAAATACAGAACATAGCTCTGTGCAGACTGCACATGCCTATAAATATCTGTGGAGGCTGAACGCACCTGCCCAGGAACAGCCCGAGGAGATGCCCAGCCCAGGGTGCTGGGGTGTGGGGCAAACTCTGGTTTGGCAACAACCCGGATATAACCAGGAATTTTGAGAAAGGGGAAAGGAGCCAGCTCATTCTTTCCTTACCACTGATATTTTGACTAGCTGTTTCCTCTGCTTGGGGGTCCGTCTGGACAAGGTGAGGGAGCTTCCTGCAGAGCAGGTGCCCCAGCAGTCCCTGGGAGGAAGGAGGAGTGACGTCCCTGCTACCCTTCAGTTCAGATCAAGCTGTGGAGATGCATGGCAAAGTGCTCAGGTCACAGTTGTCACACCAGGAAGCTGCCTCTTGGTGAGCATGTATTTGCTTAAACGGTTTGCATTAATCCCTAGAAAGGCTCTTATTTAAAAAAATGGTTAAAACTCCCATCCTAAATCCCGGTGGAAGTGGATTTCTACTTTCCTTTAGACCTTTTCCCCTCAATATTAGGCTCAGTATCTTGCATATGTTTTTATATGAAACCCAGTGATTAAAAGTACTTAAGACTGGCTCATTTTTCTCTGCAATGAGTTCAGTTATTTCCTTTTTATACCTTCCAGAATTTACTATACCATATCTAAATATTGGCTGCAGTCCACATGTTTTAGATCATGCTCTATAATGGTCCTGTTGTTACAGAATCCTTTGTGTGTGTGTGTGTGAGAGAGAGAGAGAACATGCATATGTGTTGGAAGGGAGGCAGGGTGCATATAATTGTTTGGAAGCAGAAATCAGGGTATATTAATTCCATAAGTGATTTCTGAACTGATAACATAAAAGTGATAAAAATAGAGAGCAGTGAAATTACAGACCTCCAGTGCCTTACCTAGCACGTGTGCTAAATAATACTTCTGATCCCAATATGTTACTCTACTGTATATATTCTACCAATAAAATGACTCATTCATCTTTCATTGCTATATAATTTTAAAGATCAGATTTATTGCTGTTACATTTCCTCGTTTTTACATAGGTTCTAAATGTAGATCCTTCGATCTGAGCCATACAATGTGTTAGTCAACCGTAAGCTACTCGAGGATGGATCAGCAGCTGAAAGTCCTCCTTCGTCACACAAAAACCTCGTTGCCTGCCGAAGACCACACAGAGAATGTACACACGTAGAGTAAGTTGGAGATCTTGGGGAAAAGCAGGATTGGATTGGATGTTTCATTTGAGAAATCACAAGCTTCAACTAAAAATAAGTCCTCATGCGTTGGGCTTTGGAATCTTGAGCGTGTGGCCGATTGGCTCCCAACCTTCTTGACTTCTTGTTGGATGAGCCCTAAGGTGCTCTGAAGGTGATGTGAATTCTGAGCAATTTTCCATGGGGAGAAGTTCCTCAGGCAGCCAGAACATACAGGATGTAAAAGCCTTGTTCTGACAGTTCCACCCATCTTCCACCCTGTGGATGTCCTGTGTTGGGGATCATGCTGTGAAGAGGGCTCAGTGGATGTTGCTTTGTGCTGGAATGAGTTTCACCCACAGAAAGCATACTGGCTTTCTATCATTTTTTTTCCCCACAAGCTAAGATAAATTTTTGCTTTGGTCCATTAACAATACTTGTATTTTTAATCAGAATTATTTTGAATGGTATTTTCTTTGGAAATAACAGTAATACAGTTTATGTGAAATACAAACAAATGAGGGAACGATTTTTACCTAAATGTATGAATAGCATTTTGCAATTTGTCATTGTGATATATTTATCTTTTGAACTTTAAGTGAGCTCAGCTGAAAAAAATGCTTCTCTTCAGCACATGACTGGAAAATATATTACACCAGAGAAGTATATTGCTGTTTCAGTTCAGAAATTAGTGGCTAAATATAATTTTCCACTATACTTACTTTCACAAAGTATGTAGTAAACTGTTTACGTTACAGTAAATTCTTAGTACGTATTCCAAAAGGTGTTAAAATCAGCGTTCTCACCCAAATTAATGAGTATTTTGTGAATGCACATTAAGAGTGAATAGATCTTTAAGATCTATTAGAAAAGACTCATAAAATGTTTTGTTTTCTGTTGAAGCCTTAAAACCACTGTAATACAGCTAGCACAAAGAGTTGTCAACACAATGAACTCAGGGGAACAGAGAAGAAACCAGTGCGGAGCAGAAAGATTTTGGCTGCCCAGTAAAGGAGTGATGAGGCACAGCTGAAGACCTAGGCCTGCTCCCTGCCTGAGAGCCATCCCCTTCCAGCAGCATGGCACATTTGTCTCCATGTGCAGTCCTTTTCACAGAAGCTTCCCACAGACGAAGAGGAACTGCCTTGCCACTCCTTACCCTGCTGGCTCAGGAGCAGGACCAGACCTGTCTGCAAGCTGGACGATGGCAGCTGCTCCCGTTTTGCCCAGGGGTCATCTGCCTGTCACATCGCAGACATGTAACCACCGTGTGATGGAGAGCAGCCAAGCAGCCATCGAGACAAGCTGGGGCCGGGTGGGAGCTGATGCTGCTGCCAGAACTGTGCCTCTCAGGCACTCCCTGCTCACTGTGCCCAGGAAAAAAGCTGCTGGGAACGAGCTGCGGGATGGACACGTTGTCCCCTCCACCTGCTGTCCATGGGGCGAGCAGCTGCTTCCTACAGCATGCCATCACTGTGTTCCCGAACCATTCAGCTCCTCTGATAACGGGATTGGTTTTTGTCCGCTTCCCCTTTGCACATATACAGACTGCACAACGTGGTCTGAGTTTTGTTGCTCAGGAGGCAGATTTCCTTCCTTTCTCTTATCGGAGAGCACACCTTGGGCACAGCAGCTACACCCAGAGCCTCGGAGGTGCCTGGGTGCCTACCTCCCACTGAGCTGGGCAGAATGGAAAGTCTGCACCATATCATGGAAAGGCAACTGTCAGTATTCCTCATCTACAGGGCCATTTTGGAGGCAAAGACATTTCTGGCCCACAGAGACAAAGATGATGGCAACCATTCAAAAATCACATGCATGAGAGAGAGTAGGGCTGGGGAAAGGCTTAGGTTTGGTTACCTAAGGCAAAGAAACATCTTTAAATGTTTTGGGTTGTGACTCGGAATTAGTAGAAAGAGGTTTAAACAAATCTTCGTACCTAAAGTTCTGTCTGAAAATACTTGGAGCCTTGTATTTGTTTTTTTTTGAATAATGATATTAGTAAGAGTCCATTATATAATCACAAGAAAATTAAAACTCTCCAGGGCATGATCTTAGCTATGTAATTAACAGGGGTGGTTAAAAGTACAAAGTAAACCTGAAGCAAAATTTGTACCAGAACCACACCTCGTTATGTTTTTGCTGCCTAAGTCTGTCATAAATAGAGATGTTTATTACACATCTGCCATTTAAAGTATGTACTACATGTAATGTATTTTATTTAGATTTAAAAATTTAAAAACACAAGATGACAAGCTGTGTTACTATTAACACATGCCTCGAGGACCAGGGGTGCACATTCTATTTGTGCCTTAGGTTATATTACAATACAGCCACTCCAGAGTTAGAAATGTAGAGGTACATTGAGCAATTAGTGTGCCTGATTTCAGCCCATGGAGTTTCACTGGTGTGATAGAACAATCAAGCCCTGTATATCCATTCACATTTATTAGACCAAACTTTGTAGTCTCTCCTTAGAGCACCACTCCCTCCCCTGCTTTCAACAGAAAACGGCACTAAAATCTCCAGAACTTCCCAAAGGAAAAGCAGTTATTTTCTTTCCTTGTGATTATTTATTTTTTTTTTCTTCAAAGCAGAAACAGTTCTGTACTGACTGAAATGCAAAGGCAGAAAGGCAAGAGATGGTGAGCCAGTTACATGCTTAATTCTCTCTTTACGTTCGCTTTCCTGAGCAGACTGCCCTCCTGAACTAGCTCCAGGGCTGGCTTTGAAGAAATCTTTCACAGAAAAGCTTTCGCGGAAAATCATATCGTCCAGGATCTGCAGGGAAGGAAGTCCCTCTGTGTGCATTCGGGTTATTACCAGCAGATCCTTAGTAATTCTTCTGGCCAGTGAGGAAAAGAAAGTATAGTTTCTTTGATTCAAGAGCTTTGACGAAGAAAAACGTCACCTCCTAGCCAGCTTTTCTTTGTAAGATGGCTACCCAAAGTCAGTTTCTATCACTATTTCCTAGTTTTCAGATCCTTTCAGTTGTCTGTTAAGGTGGCATACATTTAGTATATTCTATATATTGAAGTTATATATCTGCACAACAAACACTTAATGCTGTGATGTTGTAGACGGTATGACTCAGCCCACTGGCAAAGGGGGTTAGCCTTCCATACGAGGCCTACCAGACCTTCCTGGCATGTCGCAGCGTGGATTGCCTGGCAGCCGTGGTTGGTTTCTAAAAAGCTAACATAGCAAATGACTCCCAAATGAGTCAGACCCATCTCTTCAGACCAAACCCAGGGAACTCCAAAGTCGTTCTCTGAGGAGTCTTTCCAAATTTAGTTGTTGCCTGATCGCACGAGGGAAAAGAGCTGAATGTTAGCTATTCACAAGCCAGCTCTTTGCTTCTCATCAAACTTCAGCTGCTGCTGAATCTCCCAAATTTCTCAAACCACACAATAATCTAGACCTGTACATAAGGCAACTGGCAAAACCTGAAGTCAAGGCATTCCAATATGGATCTGCTAGAAGGAGAGATGCCCTTTACTTCCATACCAGCAATATTCTCCAACAAGGAGGCCTCTTTCCTCAGGTTTTCAACTTCATCTAGAATTTTAATTCAGACTCCGAAGTCACTGAAGAAAAAATTTAAGTGGTATCTGAACTTAACAAAAGATCTCGGTCCTTCCTATGAGATTCAGTCCTTGGTTACACATCTGCACAAGATTTCCAGGACCAGTTGTTGCTTAGATCTAAATCCCATGCACTGAGACATTTGATTAAAAATTAAGATGCAGTGCATAACTGTCTGGCTGTCCAACAGCAGTGGTCTTTCACTGCTTCACAGCATTGATCACTATTATGTGACACATTACCACTTCCCCTCTCTCTCTTAGGGGCCTCTGCAGAGGTAGGGCCCAGCTTTGGCTTGGGAACACCCTGCTGCAAGTCACTAAAATCAGAGATATACCAGAAAATGTGTACCTTGCTCTCATGCTCCTCTCCAGACTTCAGCCACTATTGCAGGTAGGTTGCTTGGCTGGATGGACCTTGGTTTGAGCCAGAGTTATGATCTTACAGCTGCACGCACCAGCAGTAACAGATAAATAATTGCTTGGAGAAATCAAGGTTGTTATTTCTGTTTCAATACTTAGGTACTGTAAGCAGCATGAAGAAGGTGCTGAACAGATAAATCTCTTCGTTTCTATTCTATTTCAATTCTTCTTTTATTGGCATGAACCTGGGAGGATGAGACCACTCACTAGCAGAAATCTGTATCTTCCCAAACAAGTATTGATGAAAGCCTTTGTATTGCATATTGACACTTTCAGTTTATCACCTATCCATTCATCTCATTTGTGCAACATTTCATTGTATTTAAATTGATTTTGGCTTTAAAGATAGCTGAAGTGGCCTTCCCACATGACACATTGTATAAGAAAATCTATCTTGGAAATGCTTTAGTGATTTTTCTACTACTATTATTTTTAATAATAACAACTTTGATACCTTCCTAACAAAACAAGGCATGCTGCCTTTTCATGTCCAAGTCTCCATTACTCCCTTATTCACAGTGACTTCTGAACAAATTGGCAAGTTAAGTAAAGTTTGGCAGATGCAAAGAGATCCCAAAGATAATTAAGTTCCTGCAAGTTTCATGAATGTTCATAGCCAAGAGAGGAGATAAAGATGCCTCCATCAGCAGAAACTCTGCAGAAACCCTCTCTGTGTGCCACCAGCCCATTGAGTGCTCTCAGGCTGGTCAGACAGTGAATGTACAGAGAATCAGATCAGCCAATTCTTTATCTTCTCCATTTGATTGTCGAGGTCACAGAGGGAGCTGAGTTAAGCACATATGCATCTGAATGACAAGAGAAACTGAGGAAGTGGAAAAAGAACAGAAGACCAAAGGGAGAAGGGACTACAGTGCTTGAAAAGGCATATCAAGCATAACATACTGAAACATATTTCATTTATGCCACTTACAAATGTACTTGAGATCCATCGATGGTATTTTTCATGCACCTTTTTTCTTGCACTTACAAATTCTGGCTGCATGAGTACCAAAGGTGTAACTACCAGGCTTGATGGAAGGAAGAATCACATGAGAACCCTTTTAACGTTATCCAAAATAGCTTTTCCATGTAGCAGTTTGATACTGCTAGCACTTTCACTGCTGTTCTAGGCTCTATTTCCATGTGATCAAATATGCATAACAACGAATGCCTTAGAGACTTTCAGCTGTCTTGTGGAATAAAATGCTGCAGTACCCGATAATGGTAATGCAGAGTAATGGACACCGGAAATTAACAGAGATCCAGGCGGAGTATTGTTTATCCTGCCCATTAAAGGATGATATTCCATATTTATGGGAAAATGAGAAATGTTTTATTGTGGGTAGATGATGTTTACAGGAATTTTCCTTGAGTGTATTTCACTGCTTGAATTTGGTTCACTTTCCATACTGAATAGTCAAAAGCAAGCCAGTCCAAACAAGGACCAGTAAAATATACACAACATAACCCTTGTGTCTCTAATTTCTAAATGTATAGTCTATACAGATATGTCTTTCAATGAAGATTTGAACTCCGAGCTTAAGAAATAGTCACTGTTTTTCTTCTTTGTCCTTAAAGCCAAATGTTTAAAATTATGTGAGTCCAGTACCAAACGTACTGAATGCAAATATATAAATTGCAGTTTCACAGAGAAGTATTATTTTATAACAAACTCTCTCATATTCATTAAAGATTAAAATTGGTGCTACACGCATGCTAGTACCGAGCAAGCAGTGACTCTGTGTTGATTTCTGACAAAATATAAGGTAATGTTTGCCCAGGCACAACAACAGTGCAAATGCCTGAACTGATTAAAAGTTGTAGAGTGTAAATTGTAAATAAATCCCCAATATCTAATACTCAGACATTTGAACATTGGTTTATTTCAAGTGTGCATGTCCTTTAAAACAGAACTGATTTTTATGGCTTTCTTATTATCATAACTAATTAATGGAATGACAGAGGTGCAAGGAATATAATTCTCTCCTTTTTCCAAAAGTCTGTCTCACTCAAACCAAGACAGCTTATCTTCACTCAGAATTCAGTACTTCATAGGCTAAGTACTTTAGCCAGGTGTCAGCTGAGTAGGTAATTCAGTTCTCTTCAGTAGTGTTAGCCACATGCCTAAATTAAGCATGAGATGATGTGATTTGCTGGACAGAATGCAGAGTACTCCAGACCTTTCCAGATTCCCATCTGCAGGCTGAACATCTTGACGTTTTGTATTTTGTTGCATAGAGCTGCATGGATTTGAAACCGTGGCCACAAGAGGGAAACTGATGAAACTTGGGAAAAATATACTTGGCACTGATCTTGGGTTTGATCTACAAGCAAGTGTTTTTGCTGCTGCTGCTGTCAGCGGAGAAGATCAGCTGAAGCCATCTTCATTGAAAAGATGCTTCTATTTCATTAACGCCCCAATTATGTTAACGTATACAGCAAGCTGCAGGGCTCCACTAATTTTGTGAGGATTTAGATTTAAATGTCTCTGTTGAGACCGTGTGGGGGTGAGTGGTGAGCAGTGGAATATATGGGAATATATGCTTTTGATGTCACGATTTGATCACTTATTTTGCTTTGTGGGGAGGACAAGCTTCTCAGAATTGTATACTTTCTAAAGAAACCCCGAGTAAGTTTTGCAAAATGGATGGCACACCACCAGCAATTATGTTAAGCCTGTTCTAAAGAAGCAGTCGATCAGTTTCAATCATACTTGAAAGAGTAGGTGAAGTCTCAAAAATGATCAGGCTCGCACAAGTGGGAATGGGATCTGAATGACTGCTCCAACAGAGAAAAGTTGAGCAGAATTTAGGAGTAATATGTTACATTTAACAGTAGCCTTTTAGCCAATCAATGGAAATGACCAACTGACCATTCAGAGCACGCGCTTGTAAAAATCATGTTTAGTAGGGAAATTCAAATACAGGATTTTTCACAGCAAAAGGAAAGGGATAGCCAGACTAACTTCATTAGCTACTCTCTGAACAAAGCCTATGGGTACTCCAGATTAAGCCATCATTTCAGACTTCAGATAGCAAGTAGATGAATATAGAATACAATAACAGCTAGAATAGGAGAGTGTGGAAAACAGTGTAAATGAGGCAAGATTCACATTGATTCAGATCATTAATGTCTGTAGACAGGAATCTGGATGTAGAAAGTAAATTTTTTGTTCATACTGGGAACAATAGCAAAATACATCCATAAGAGACATTTATTTGATGCAGGAAGTATGATGTTGAAGAAAGTAGTAAAAAAAGGAGATGCCAAGTGTTTTTTGAATGGAAAATTAAAGCAGTCAAACCATATTTACACAAACATTTCCTCTAAAGAATTTTTTTGTTTTTTGAAATCTAAGATTTGTCTCCCACACAAAGTAATTAAATGTTCTCAAGGATTTCTGCAGAGGAACACACTGGGACATGGTGGAGCATAGTAAATGAGTAGCCATATGCAGGTGCAATTACTGGCAGCTCTGCTCTGAGAGTGCAGTGGATTTACCATGAAAGTTCTCACTGTGGAATCACTAACATATATTCCCCCTTTCCAGTGTTTCTATTTTTTATTTTTTTTTTTGTCTGGAATGCTGCTTGCTTCCCTGAGGTGCTCTTTTGAAGGAAGGTGCTTCAAACACAAACAGGAATGGTAGCCCAAAGCCATGTTCTTTTGGATGTTCTTTGTCTCTGGGGTCATGCTTTGAAGGAATCTGGAGGAAGAATTTAGTCTCCTTCCTTCACCATAATGCCAAGGATTTTTCAAAACTGGTGAAACAAATCTCTTAGATCAAACAATACTGCAACTCTCCTGACAGTTTAGAAGTGTATATCTTGGGGCCAAAATTTTATGTTTTTACATGGTTCTTACTCATTTGCACCTTGGGCAGTACTCCATTTGTTTCAACTGATTTGTGTGAGGGATAAACTCAGGATTTAGTTCTTAAAAGGTAATCAAGTATCTTGAAGATTATTGTAAGTGAAACTAAGATCCTTCAGGCTCAAATGTATTCTTCTGTTTCCCAATTAACCATTCCAGGGTATAAAGGAGGGATCATCATAAGTCTTGAAGAAAAAAACGGAAACATCATTATTTAAGACTGAGAACACTGTTTAAGGACAACACTCCACTTTGATGTTCTAGAGAAATGTAAACAAAAGCTGTAATTTGTGGGGCTGAGGATTGATCAAGTGTTCAGAGTACAACATAGCCCTACAGGAATCTGGTGGAAGTATCTGAAATTACTATAGGGAAGAAACTTGATCTCATTTCAAATGTAATTAAAGCCTTCTGCATCTCCACAAAACCCTCCAAAACCCTGGAGATCTCTGATGGTTTACCCTCTGGGGAGAACACACAGATATGAATTTTAATAGTGTCTTTTGGTGATGTGGTGGATAAAGACAAATTGATTACAGCAGTCTGGAAAAAAAGCAGGTGATGCATTACCAGGGCCACTGGGTTCACGTTTTCCCAGACATGGTGAAGGCCACCCAGATCATGAAAGAAAGTCGATATGTTTAAAAACTTGAGTTCTATGATTTGGAGCTTGATATGGCTTTCTTGTTTCCGGATACACTGGATTATATCAAAAGAAAAATAAGACTCATGGTCCAAATTCTGTTCTCATGTACACAAAACCAAATCTAGATTAAAATCTCTGATGTCAACAGATTTACACTCGTACAACTGAAAAGCAGTACAGTTCTTCTGATTACAACGATGTATGTCATCATTTATTATCTGAAGAGTAATGAAAGAGTAATGAAAGTCTGAGAAATCTGAACTCTGAGAGAAGTGTTTCTACATCCTACCATGAAACACTGGACAGAACACCCTACAGAAGTCTCTAATAAAAATAGCTGTGCCCGGTCTCAAATGTTGTGGTTGTTAGAAATTTGTTTCTTAAACAATGTCATCCATGCACACTGATGGGACGTAAAGTGAATGTACTATGATAACTGTAGGCTTCTTACAGTCTACTTCTTTCTAACCCAGTTAGAGTTATACTGGGACAATTAGGTAAACACATGTGATTGCAAAAGACATTGATCTGACATTCATGAAAACTACAGCAGATGACAAACCAGACAACAATCTTGTTATTGCTTGACACGTTAGCTCTGACCACTGTCTAATTGTGTTGATTAATATTTGGTACATGTGGATATACATACACAAACACAGCCATGCACATATGGAGCAGATCAACGTGTGATCTGCTTTCAGACCTAGCCATTTTTCAGTGCCAGAGCTAGCCTGCAGCCTGCCACAGAGCCATGCACTCAGCATGCTGGGGAGCCTCACGCCTTCCAGTGTTCCACGATATTAGCCTAGGTGTGAAAAAGAACACGGATTTAATCTAGGGACTAACTCTCCATACAGAGATGTGGCCTTCAAAGGCTCTGTTCAGCCCATGTTCTTCCTCCTTCCAGTAGCCCTTTATCTAGTGGTTAAAACGCTTCGCTGGATAACAACTTGCTTGAGTGTGAATCCCCATCAGCAGAACTGGGATTGACTCTGGCCTCTTGTGCCTGAGGTATGTGCTCCAACTGTTACATCAAAGGCAAGATGGCAAGGCTGCCAGAACTGGAGTCTTGTTTCTGAAGAAGAATTATCTGTGTTGAATTTCTGAAAGGAGAGATGCTGAAAATCTCCTTCAAGAGGTGCCAAACTGTAGATGCAGAGTGAATGGTTACAGTTCCTAAAGCATTGATGCTGACTCATCCACTGATGAGGACGTTTACAGATTTATCTCTGTTCTTCAGGTTTCTCAGCTGGCCAATTCCAGGCACTTACCAGCTGCTTTGCATTGCAGCCCTTCCCCTGCTGCAGAAGGAGCCCAGGCATCTGCTCTAAGAAGCAGATGTCAGAGCTTGAGCGTTGAAGGAATTAACTTCAAGGCACCTAAGTCCTTACTGGATTTGATCTTCTGCACCTGTGAACCATGTCAAACATGAAGACCATAGTCTAAACTCTTTAGGTCTTGCTGGACAGAGTAACACCTGCATACCTGAAAGTCTGGGTTGTTTAGTTTGCATTTACAAAAGTTTGCTGGCTTAGCTGCCTTCACCTGCAAGTGGAAGATAGGTGGGTAATGGGGATTTTTCTCCTGAGTTACAAATCAATGTCATGTGTTCATATAATTAGTATTTACCTCCAAAATTCATATGGATGTATATCGTTTATAGTTTCATTTTGTTTTTAAATACTCTATTGTGTAATGTTAATTGATCTTCACCCTTCTTTTCCTCAACAAAACCCACATCTAGAACAGCAGAGGTAATATCTGTTCTGTATGGTATAATTTTACAGCTAATTTTCAGAATGGCAAAGTTTATACACAGGAATGCAGTTAATATTGTGTAACAGCAAAAAACAGCACAATAAAAATGTCCCCATGACTTAAAGGTGCAGCAATATACGTTTCCACAAAGTTGTGAGAAAGAGCCTGGGAATGACATTTTTCCTATTTTTTTTAGTTTATTTCTGAGAAGAAACATTGCTGTGTTTCTCCTACAGCCATTGCAGCCCTTGACAGCAGAGCTCATTACAGAGCTAACAGCGCACACTAGCATCTAGGCTGCCGTTGTTCATCGATGCTGCCAGAAACACTGACAGAAAGTGCCACACCATGGCTTTGAAAAATGCAGGAACTAATTAAGGAGTATTGATATCAATGTGGAACACAGTGATCAGACAAATGCTGTGTTTAGTCTGATATCCTGTCTC